GTGTACCTGGTCTACTACCTGTAAACTAGGTCCATGGCGAAAGTGTCCTCGAATGGTGGAGTAACGTGGCCCGTATTCACTGTGCGAACAAAAAAGGTTTGCACTCTCTGATCATCTTAGTGTGCTGGGAAGTGTGGAAGGAAAGAGATGCAAGAATTTTTTAGCATAACGGCGCAACAATTCAACAAGTACTAAACAAGATTAGAGATGAAGTGAGGCTTTGGAAAGCGGCCGGAGCAAAACATCTGGCAGCTCTTCTACCTTTTTCTTGATCCTTTTCTGGGTATATTTTACTTTGGGGCGTGACAGGCTAAAGCGCCTTGTACAGTGCTACTGTGGCCGTCTTTGGCTTTCTCCTTTTTAATATAACAGGTAGCTCTCCAGATGGTTCGTTTAAAAAAATGAACCAGGCTATATATGTTAATTTAAAGTTAGGATGCATTATTGGACGTAAGGGATATGACGGGGAGAAATCGGACGACTACAATTATTTTATGACATGGCTCACAGATATAGATATCGTGTATGATAAACTATTAGAAATGCACCATGCTGGATATGCTTTATAAGAGCTATAGATGGGAAAACCACGGTTAAGAGCAATTTCAACAGTGTTCTTATCCTATTTTTTAGGGCCTGAGGATGAAAAACAAGAAAATAGCAGGGTTTCTAGTTAGACCATCAGAGGTCCTCTAATTGATCCCTCAAGCCCTCACTCATATGGGTTCTCTTCAAGACCCTTTACTTTTCTATTGTGGTTGTTTACCCTTGTTAGAGTATGTCATGGGCCTATTGGGCCTGGGCTGGCGGTATAGCCCGTTAGTGTTAGGGTTAATTAGAGATAAGGGTCGTTTGCTTAGGGGTCAAGTAATCCTTGCTTGGGAGTCAAGTATACCTCTCTATATAAGGAGAACAAATATATCAATCTAATCAAGCAAAAATTAAGAAGTAAATCCCTCTTGCTCAACCGTGGGCAAGGCCCCGCGGCCGGCCTCCTCTCACCTTCGCAGCCCCAGCCGCCACATCCGACGCGAACAGCACCCGTGGGCACTGTAGCACTATGGGGTACTATAGCATAGCAGTCTCCACCGCTCCCTTGATCTCGCCCCCCTCAACCCTAGCACCCACGTAACAACCCTCCTCTTCCACACACACCCATACAGAACTCTCATCCCCCACCCTCCCATGTGCCGCCACCACCACTACCATCGTCCTCAAATCCAACCTTTCGCGCTCCTCACCCCCTTTTTCTTGTTGGATTAACAATCTTAACCAAAACCCTCACTGTGGCCATCTTCCTCGTGTCTTGTCACCCAAGCTCCTCCCTGCACAACCAGCCTCCCAATGAACGTGACCTTCCCTATCGGTCATCCTCCCCACAATCTTGTGCCCTCTTCCACGAGTGGGTAGGCATGGGTCTCCATCAACCCCCTCAACTATCTTAGACTGAGACAATTGGATTGTGTGAAAAGGACCTAGGATGCCGCCTAGAGGTGGGTGAATAGACGTTTCTAAAAATAACACCTTTAAATGCGGAAACGATTAGAGTGAGAGCTTCTAATTGCTTAGAGGCTCCAAAACAAAGTAAACTAACCCCTCACGAGCTGACCACAGAGTATATAGCAAGTACTAAATAAATATAAGAGCCACGACCCTGCAACACAGAGATTAGAGAGAAGAACAACAGAAATCAGCACAGGTGATAAATACCGGACATGTCCGATGAGATTCACGGGCTCAGCACACCGAGGACCAAACTTGCTGCCTTTGATTCTAATCTTTTACTCCAAGCTACAAGGATCTGCTAAGAGTTGTATCTCACTATATACACCTGCACACGAGCTAGCACAACCCAAGTGGATCACAAATATCAAATGAGAGAGAATTAAGACACGATATTTGTTTTACCGAAGTTCGGACTCGGTCGAGTCCTACTCTCTGTTGAGGGGGCCGCGAGTGACCCAGCGAAGGTCAGCTCTAGAGGACACACAAATGTCACTCTAGCCGGAGTATTTTCCAACTCCTTTTCCTCCTTCCACTAGTTGATTTCTTCCCTTGCGGTGGTGGAAATGACCGTTACAAACTTTCGGAGGCACACCACAATCTCTCGGGTGCTCTCCGGTGACGTATAGCCATCTAGAACCGAAGAGTCCAAGAGTAACAAATGCAAATCACGAGATCGACAATATGCACAAGTGCTCGAGTGGTGGCTTCCTCTCAATTTTGAATTTCTCTCAACCCACAAGTTGGATTTGGCAATAGAAATCAATCAATCACTAAGAGAGGGTTGGAGAACACAATTTTGAATTTCTCTCAACCCACAAGTTGGATTTGGCAATAGAAATCAATCAATCACTAAGAGAGGGTTGGAGAGTGTTCTCAAGGCTCAAAAACGTGTATGGATATCAGCAGAATCAGCAGCATTCAAAGGTGAAGGCTTGGGGGTATTTATAGCCTCTTTGAAAAACTAGCCGTTAACTAGCCGTTGGGCTCAGGACATGCATACCGGAGACTTGCACCGCGCCAAAGTTAGAGAGTTAAAAGCGCACGAGGTGTCGAAACTCCCGACGCTTGCCGGGACTTCTGACTCCCGGAACTCCTGACACTTGCCGGAACTTCTGACAAACCAAACTTGAGAACACAGAAGATGTTGCTGTGACCATGCTCATACCGCTCGGCCAGAGCAAGGAGAGTTAGCTCTTGTGTCTCTCTCTCACTCAAACCTCACATGGGTTGGCTTGAGCATTTATGAATAATCATCTATCAACATGATGCATCACTCTTAATAGTACGGCATACATATTTACTCAAGATCAAATGAAAAAGAAATTTAAACCTCTTGAGTTGTTTTTTTTTCTTCAAATCCAAATGCCATAGCTCTCAATCTTCATGAAGTGAGGATGTCAACATGTCAACTTTGATTTTCTTCTTGAGCATAGCCACCTTGAGTATAAGACTTGATTCCATTTAATAGATGTGAATTTACTTCAAATGTATCAAATCACTTTTAACAATTTATCCAATATAGATTTGATCATCCACCTCAATATGACCATTATGGCTTGATTGGTAGTTCAATTAAATGCAAGTACTTTCTTCTTCACCCTAGCTAGGTTCTTCGGCCGCCAAGCCGTCACTTGCCCTTCACCCTTGCTTAGTACCTCGTAGTCTTTCCTTGCTATCTTCACCACCTTAAGCCATCAAGTCACACCTTGCGTTGAATCATCCATTAAGCTCATAATTCATTCTTTCATTTGTATAGTTGTCTTTTAATGTAGCAAGCTATAACTATGAGACCATTTCATATGCAATCCCTCATGGCTCACTTAATTATTTCTCACGTGCTTACTTTCATATGGTTCATCAAAATCCCACAATGAATAAGCCTTGCATGAGTTTCATTTGCATTGTTGTCTTATGTTTGAACTAGATTGTTTATACAACAACACATCATTTTGGCTTTCATCAAATACCTGTGAGATTACCTATTTTCTGTTCAACACTTAGCAAACGGGTTAGACCTTTAATCACGTTATCATTCAATCATTCAAAACCCACCAAAGGGTTACATGCACTTTCATTGTGCAACGATGATTTATTTGTGATCTATTTCAATTATGTCTTTTGATTTGCAACCTTCGTTCTAATTAAATGTTCTCGAGCACAAATCAATTACTTAATGTCTTTTGACGTGCAATTGTTAATTATAATTATTCTTGAGCACAATTTCATTGCTTGTGATGTCTTCTAATTAGCAATTAAATTTGAATTGCGATGAGACTATGTTTGCCTTGGGATGGCACTTTATTTTATTTTATTTTAATTTAATTGCACATCTAAATTTGGATCATTTGTATTAACTACCAATATTATAGTTTTCAATCATATAGTGTCGAATAGATTGAATGCCTATAGTATGTGAGAAAAGAGAGAAACAAAAACATGGACTCTGATCTGAGTGTTAATTCTAGAGTTGAGCCTAGAAAATAATACCCACAAAAGTATAGAGAGCCTTCAAATCAAAAGTATGAACCTAATTTAAGGGCTTATAATAAAGTTGCTCTAAACAAGAGGTGATACATGATAAATTAACTTTTCTTGCATCTTACATCTTACATATGAGTATATGACACAACATAATGACTAACCTGATTACCTGAAGTCTTAAAATGAACAGTATGCAAAGCCTAGTCAATGTCGTCATATATTACATCATCATTACTAAAATATTACCCGGACACTGATGCACACAGAAAAAGTAATCAACAGCTCTCGTCGTGACCCACAGTTTATTATGATATTTCCGGTGGAGAACGACACTATGTATTTTTTTATCATATAAAAATTCTACCAAGAAAACATACTCTAATCTCCAGAGGGCAACTTACGCTGATTTTGCTAATATTAAAAAAAAGCAAACTATGCTGAAATAATGACTGACCTAAACTGAATCGTATGCACAGTCAAATTCTTCTTTGACATTGTACTGACTAAACATGTTACAGGACACTGCTATCAGAAATCAAACGTCCCATAGTTTTGTCATAACGCATACTGCCGGTGGAAAAAATGCCTGGCGCCATCAGCAGACTGCTAACTCGCACAAATCAAACGTCGTAGGGAGTAGATGGATTGCATATTTTTTTTCAGTCTTACTGCAACGCCCCTGTCGCTAGCGGACTAGTTGAACTACCCCGTAGTAAATATCTTTGAACCATTCAGATGGCATCCACTAGTTCAGTATCATAATTTCCAGACACATGACCACATATGCACCTGCAACGAGACAGGCTATCGACAAACTAAGAACCCATCAAAACCATGTTCTTTGCTCGTTAGCATCACAAGATCGCACTGAAGAATCTCACTGATGATTTGCCAAGAACTCGGAAACGGCAGGGCAATCCCGGTGGTCGAGTTCTTGGCAAATCATCACTGATGGAGGTCGACCACCGGGAACCGAGAAATGCACAGTGTGCAAACGCAAAGCAGCGATCGAGATGGCTTTCTCCACTACGACTAAGAAAGCGTTCAAAGATCACGACGCGAGCAGCACGGAACGGCATGCGAAATTAAAGGAGAATATGGGGACGAGAACGAAAACAGGGGGAAAGGGGAGGAGTGTACGGACCAGGAGGCTGAACCCGGAGACGTTGGCGAGGGAGGTGGCGATGGCGGCGGAGGAGAGCGGGAGCACGCCGGGGAGGTGCCCCACCATCATGTTGGACGACACCTGGACGGCGTACTGCGACAGGTTCACCACCACCATGGGCAGGGCCAGGTACCCCACCCACCCGGTCTCGCGCGCCCACCGCCTCCACCACGCCTGGTCCTCCTGCGCCGACCGCGGTAGCAGCAGCGGCCGCGCGGCCTCATCCTCCTCCCTCGCGGTCGCGGCGGCCATCTCGGGCTCGCCCGTCCTCGGCCACTCTCCCGGTCTCGGGTCTCCCCAGGGCCCAGGCGCCTCTCTCGCTCAGAGCTGTAAGTTTGGAGTTGCATGAGTGGATGGGCCTGTCACCTGTTCGCGCGAACTTAGGGGGTGTTTGTCGCCGGGACTAATTTTCAGTCAAAGTCATAGGATGTTTGACATTAATTTGAAGTATTAAATATATTTTAATTACAAAACTAATTATATAAATGGAGATTAATTTGCGAGACGAATCTATTAAGCCTAATTAGTGCATGATTTGACAATATGGTGCTACAGTAAATATGCGCTAATGATAGATTAATTAGGCTTAATAGATTCGTCTCGTAAATTAGTCTCTATCTGTGTAATTAGTTTTATAATTAGAATATATTTAATACTCTAAATTAGTGTCAAACATCCGATGTGACAGAGACTAAAAATTAGTCCCAGGAACCAAACACCCCCTTATTGGGCCAAAGCGATCGAGTTCGTCATGTTTGTCCGAAACGTCTCAGGCCGGTCTCGGCACGGCACTGCACGGCGTCGATCTCGACATAGCGACAGCACGTGTCAAGCCCTCAAAGGTCATACTCCCTCCGTCCAAAAATAATGTCGTTATGAGATATGTAATGGTCAAATTTTATTAATTTTGACTAGGTTTGTAAAAAATACGTGTGATATTTATATCTCTAAATAAGTTTAATATAAAAGTATATTCAATGATCTATCTAATGATATTAAAAAGTTGACTCCTTGGAAAGCGAGAACGACTTCAATTTTGGGAGAGAGGGAGTAGTCATCACCAACACACACAGACCGCGCGTGCGTCTCTCTCAATTGGTACTCTCTCCATCCTCAAATAAATCAATTCCTATAATCCGTGCAAGTTAAACTATCTTAAGTTTTATTAATTTTATAGAAAAGAGTATCATCTATGATATAAAATGAGCATATTATGAATATATTCTATGGTATATCAATGATACAAATTTGATATTATAAATCTTGATTGGTTTTTCTACAAATTCGGTCAAAGTTTAAAATTTTTGACTTAAGATAACTCTAGAAATCTGTTTATTCGTGACGAGGGAATATATAAATACTACACGGCAAATTTTTCTACAAGACGTCCAAAATTCGTGTATTTTGCTATTGTACATCGCCAACTCAAGAATTGGTCGAGTACCACTATTAATCTGTGTTTCTTTATTGGAACACATCGTAAACAATAGAATAATCTTTTCGTTGATTTGGGAAAGAGAAACTTGTGTGAATGGACGATTTTGCCTCTGCTCAACGAACATGGTCCAACTTAACTCGTTAGTACTTGGTACCCAGTCAACCGCTCTCCCACCATCTTCTTCCTCCCAAAACCTCGTGCCTTGTCTTTGTTCTCTATTGTCTTCAAAATTTTCCCGGTTCAAACCCTAGCCACCAAAGAGGGAGAATGGTGGTGATCTCTCAAACCACGTCGACTTTGGGCCCACCATCTCTAGCGGCATTCAGGTCTGAGATGTCCGTTGAGGACTTGAAGGAAGGCTTTGAGTTGTTGAAGGAAGGAGTTGAGTGTTGCAGTGCCCTATTGCAAAGCACTCCAGTCTCTCTCAAGGATGCATAGCTAGCTTTGAAATCTGCACCGCCTATACCAATATGGCAATCGGTAGAAAGGTTGACAGGATTGGTGAACGACAGCTTGTTGTAGGTCTAACAAATTTGCTCGTTGCAGTCCTACTTCTCATGGTTCTATTAGTTAAGTAACCATTGATCTATTATGTTTAGGAAGACATGTATGTGTTTGATAGTACGGTGGGTTCGTAACCGCGGCAGTGATTAGTGATTCGATCAGTGGGTCGATGTATGGGACTCCAGTGGTTTAGCACTCAAAAACAAGGATTTGTTCCGATTCACGTGTCTAAGCCCTACATCTAGCAGCTAGTTCTTCGTGTTAGAATGCTCAATCGAATTCTTACAATGGAGAAGGAAGAGAGGTGATAGGAGAGCGCTAGCTCATAGTGATCTAGGGTTTTTGTGATTTGTCGCCCCTCTAAGGGTGCCTATGCCCTGCCTATATGCTGGAGTGAATTGGGTTTTTGAGATGCTGCAAGGTGATTATCTCACAAGAGCAATTAACGACGAATATTTGAAAAAAAATCCAAGTGTTTGGCAAGAAGTCTAGAGTGCTCTCCAAACAATGGTCGATACATGTATCGCACTAGAAAAAATGACCAATGTACACATCACACTTAGATCCCAAGTAGCTGATGAGTTAGGAATCGTTGCTATTTGGTATTTTTATATTATCATGTTCATGTAAACTTTACATAAAAATAGGGGACATATGTTAAGAACAAAAGTATACCAATAAAAGTAATCGACTCCACCATAAAGTTTCTGGTTTCAAGACATCGAAGGAATATATTCGGAATATTGAAATTGAAGTTCAATTGAAGAATAGACGGTTTTGGCTTAATCTGCCAAAAAACCGGCCTAGCCAAGTTCCCTTCCCTGTGAGCTGTGTGTGGGGAAGGAATCCAACTTTCAATTGTCAAAAAATACATCTATTATACCAACTTGATGGTTGGTCTCACTGTTCTAGGACATTCTTGCTGAGGTCAAGGCACATGTGCGAGCTGGAACGTGCTAGCCCGTACTAGTGTTTGACATGATTCAATGTCAACGACTTTCTTTTTAGAAACATGATTCCACTTAACCTACATCCACTAATTAATATCAATCCATCCCAAATTATAAGACGTTTGACTTTTTTTGACATCAAGTTTGACCACTCGTCTTATTCAAAAATTTGTGTAAAATATCACTTCTTTCGTCGTGGTTTGGTTTATTAATAAAAATTCTTCAAGAATGATTTAAATTTGACTATATTTGCACAAAATTTTTGAATAAGACGAGTGGTTAAACTTGGGGTTAAAAAAGTCAAACGTTTTATAATTTGGGACGGAAGGAGTACAGAATATACAACACCCGTCTGCCAACCATACACATTGCGCTGTCCAAAAACGAGCGTACGCTCGATGAACGATCAGGAGGACTGCTGGAGTTGGATCTGGACGGGCCGTAGTGTTTTGGGCTGTTTTGAGAAGGTGGGCTGTCCGGCCTGGGCCTTGCCTCTGCTTTTGGGTTGTACGACCATGTTGGGCTGGCCTTTCGGTAGTTCCGGTGAGCCCCTTACTTCCCCCCCCCCTAATATCAATTTGTGTTTGACACATGATTTTGGTGAAGAGGAACACTAATGGCATAGAAAGCTTCAAGCAGACTACACATGTGAATCCGTTGCGACATACGCGTCATTTCAGTTTTAATTATTGTTCGAAGCACACATCCATGGCTCTTTCAAAGTCCAAACCTTTGAAAGATGTCGGAACAGTATTTAAAGTGTAAATTCGTTGTGGCCAGCTCGCGAGGCCAGCATGTCCACGGTAGCAAAAAAAAGGTTGCCCGTCTGATTCATGATCTGTGGTTCTTGTGTCGTTGGCCAAGACACTCCCCAGGGTGGCCACGTTAGCAAAAATGTTTTGGTCCGTTCGAATGGAGATCGGCGGCGCTGATGTCTCCTTCCATGCCGAATATATACCGGCTCCAACCCTAGCTCTCTCTCCCGTCCACATCCGCCTCTCCTCCCTCCCCCTTATCTCTCGGCGATGGCTAGGGCGGGCCCGGTCGCGCGCGTCCAGGCGAGGGTGCCACAGCTCCCTGGCAAGGGAGGCATGAGCCCCGACTAGGGCGGCTCTGGCAGCGCAAATAAGAAGGGCCTTAGCGCAGGTGGCCCCAAAGATGGCGCACCCGGCCAGGCGCGAGTCGCCCCTCAACATGTGTTGCGCCCCTAGCGCGGGTGGCACCTCGTCCGGCGTTGCGGGGTGAGCTCGCCCCCATGGCCGGCGGTGCGGCGGCGCGGGTGGGGCCCAGGGGTTGGTTCGGGTCAGAGCCTCCACGCGGCAGCGGCTACCTCAAGCCCCCACGCGCCCAACCCATGAGGACTCCGCGCAGGACCAGTGAAGGTGGCCTCTCTCCCTTGCTCCTCCTCTCCTTCACTCGCCGGCGCCGGGGTCGAGCATCGGTCTGTGCTTGTCGCACTTCTTTGCTGGGGTCGAACCGGGGCCTCCACGACCGGATCTTGGGCCTTCATGGCCGCATCCGTTCGTTCCGCCACTGAATCTAGCCTGGTCGTGTCCTGTCGTAGCGTCCGGCCGGATCGAGCTGCACGCCGACAGATCTCGCCATCGCGAGGTGGGCCATGCTGCCGGATAAGCCGCCAGCTTTGCTTTTGCGTCACCGCTCAGCTGCTTGCTAACGCTAGATCTGCGCTCCTTGTAGGTTGGTGGTGGTGGGAGGAGCGACCCCACGAGCGCACCGAGGACGAAACGGCCTTTGGTACCAGGTCTGATTTGCTTTCTGTTTTCTCGGGCCTACTTGTTCGATGTTTTATTTTTGAGTGCCTTTCCCCGCTTGCTGGATTTAGGGACCGCGAGGACGACGACGCGGCTGGACCGGAAGGCGATGGGGATGATTCTTGAGAAGCTTCAAAAGTGCGTGTTTCACATCTTTGTCGCAAACGCAAGATGAAATTTGTTGCGTCAAGTTTTAATGAGCTCGATTTCTCCTCCTTTTGCCACTGTCATATTCCGCAGGAAGAATACGTATGGAATGTTTGCGGAGCCAGTGGATCTAGAGGAGGTAAGGAGCCCATATTCATTTGCCATGCTTCCTGGAGTTGTCAATTTGTTTGGTAGGGAGCTGTTGAGTGTTCATATCGCGGTTATTGATTGACACAGCTGCCTGATTACCACGATGTGATTGAGCACCCAATGGACTTCGGCACCATCTTGCCAGGAATGCGTATTGCTTGTTCGAGCAATTTGAGGTCAGGTTGCTAGGCTTTGGGCGTATATTTAGGCAGCGTATGGATAATGAAATATCGTATTGCAATTTGTTGGCCATTGAAGAGTTACTTTTCAGTTCATTTTACTTTTGTCGTGAGCGAATTTGATGTGTAACGTTCTCCCAAAGTAGCAACATGTGATACGTTAGATTTGCCTAAGAGAATCAGGTTTGTCGTGCAGCCTGACAAATGTA